TCTGTCTTGCCTCTAATTCTTTCAATAATAACCCTACCGTACACTTTTCCTGGTATACTCAGCAAACTTATTCCTCTATAAATACATATAGTACTTAAATTAGTAATACAGTAGATAAATTAATATTTAAATAAACATTTAAAATAACATTTACTTTGTTGACTGTTGCTGGCATCTGAAGTTAGGGAGGAGGAGAGAGGGAGCACTTATTGTTTGGAAGGGGTATCCCCTTCCATAAAGACCAGATAAGTCCTTATCTAGGGTTACTTCCCTTCTTTGTCTTGTAATGCCACTAGGACCAGCTTGAGTCACTGGACCTCTGTCACATAAAGTAACTGTCCAGAGTCCTTTGTTTCTGGCACCTCTTTAGCATTTCCCTAAAATGGGACATGGTTCTGTCACTGAGATGGCTTGTTTCAGCTTGCTCAGGGTGGTATTTTTCCACAAAATTTTGCAACATATTCCACACATGTCCCTAATTACTGAAGAAGCCACCTTCTCCACTCCCTCTTCCTCCTCTTCCTCTGAAGCAAGTTCCTCAACTGTGGTCTGATGCTGTTCCAGATTAAGCTCTTGCAGCTCTTCAGTAGTTAGCTCTTCCCTGTGGTCCTCCACCAACTCTTCCACTTCCTTGCCACTCGCCTCCAACCCTATGGACCTCCCCAGTGATACAATATCTTCCACAACAGGCAGTGTGTCAGCACACCACTCATATTTTTGTACTATTTCTTTCTTCACTTCTATGGTTTTTCTCACTTTCTTTATGAAAGGGGTGCCACTAGGAAGTTTCTGTGGGCCCATGGTGACTTATTTCAGTCACACTCAATAAACAAGCACCAAACACACTGAATTAATTGTGAAATGTTTGGGTGAGCACGCACGGTAATGTTCACTTAGATAAACAAGCAGCCAGACTGGCTCATAACGCATGTGTGGGGAGGTGCGCAGGCACAGGCAGGTGGACGGGTCTGGTACGCAGAATGAAACACGGGGCACAGTGCGAAACTCGTGACAAAATTTAGCAGAAAAAAAAGGTTCTAAACTTGAAGCATACGATACTCAGGGCAGACGAAACTCAGGGTTCCTCTGTATTGGTGAAAAAGTTTTACCTATGTTCATGATATTGAGCAAATACATTTATAGTTTTTACATACGTGTTTATGATGGGCTGGGATAAGCTAAGGAGATGAGGTGTTTTTTTAACTGGTTTTAAAAATGCTAGGTGAACCAAGGGTTGGGATTTCTGGCAGAGTTCGAGATTTTGAGCTCTTTTATGAATGAGTTTTTGAAAATATTTAGCCTTGCACGGGGAATATCAAATGGTCAAAACATAATTCACAAACACAGCTAGCTCAGACAGAATGAAACTGAACATGTATTCACGAAGGCTGGGATGGTGGGAGGTCTTTCCTGTTGACCCTCGACATGGCAGCAGCTTGAGCTGGGGAAATTTTTTCACGCCCACAAATGTAACCATGTGAAGTTAATTTTACAAAGTTGTATAAAATTGTGCCGCAATTTTTCAAGGTCCAGTAACCAAAACGTGGCAAATAAATTTGTGTAATATAACGGTCTTCTGTATACAGTAATTTTAATGACTAATATCTTCAAAATGTTATCCACTAGCGATGCAAAGTTTAACACACTTCGTAAGATTCACATGAACAGGATGCAGTAAGTGAGGGGAAAAAAATAACAGAATATTTAGTAATATTTCCCATGGGTCACCCTGTTCAATTTCTTCATACTTACAGTGAAATTCAGCCACAAGGTACACTAAGTACAGTAGACCTTCGATTAAGGCGGTTTCCTTTAAAACATTTTCTCCATTACACTATTGTGAAATTGTGGCGTATTTTCACTTTTCACTTCGTAAAATTCAATTTAAATGATTCTGCTTACCAGTAGGGAAAAAATTTCAGCACATAAGGGGGATTACCAACAGACCCCTGGCAGTCTTCAAGCTGGCACTGGACAAGCACCTAAAGTCGGTTCCTGACCAGCCGGGCTGTGGCTCGTACGTTGGTTTGCGTGCAGCCAGCAGCAACAGCCTGGTTGATCAGGCTCTGATCCACCAGGAGGCCTGGTCACAGACCGGGCCGCGGGGGCGTTGACCCCCGGAACTCTCTCCAGGTAAACTCCAGGTAAACAAGCTGGACGGCAAGGATTTTCTCCTCTGTGTAGTGAGCACTAGGCAGTCTGTCAGTGGGTGAGACCATTGTCTTTTACAGGGAAGGCCCTGGTTTTCTACCCTGCCACCTCCGTACCTGTACTCTGTATATACACGTCCAGTACAGTACCCAACATTGTCTGTGAATCGAGTTTTGGTCTTTTCATTACCATACATTGCTTCTGCCAAGGAACCATGGACTGGCTGCGTTGATTTACTGACAGACGTTACCGACGATTTTGACGACGCTGACCGACTTGATTGACTGACTGACCGACCGACTTGATTGACTGACTGACCGACCGACTTGATTGACTGACTGACTGACCGACTTGATTGACTGACTGGCTGACCGACTTGATTGACTGACTGACCGACCGACTTGATTGACTGACCGACTGACTTGATTGACTGACTGACCGACCGACTTGATTGATTGACTGACTGACTGACCGACCGACCGACTTGATTGACTGACTGACACTGACTGATTGGACTATCATCCACCTCAGCCCAGATGGGCCTCAGCTTGCCTCTCCACTTCCTCCTTCACAATTATCCACAAACACCAGCAGCCACAATTTAAGGTAATAAGTATTTCTTCTGCATTTGTAGCCTTAAACTTTTGACTGTTTACACCGTATAAATATGTCTTACGCGCCACTGTTTCTGACGTATATATACTCATAAATTCTAGCGGCTTCAAATCAAGCAGGAGAAACCTGGTAGGCCCACATGTGAGAGAATGGGTCTTGTGGTCAGTGTGCACCACATAAAAATCCTGCAGCACACAGTGCGTAATGAGAAAAAAAAAAAGACCTTTTTTTTTTTTATTTATTATTATTATTATTATTATTATTATTAAAATGCCGACTTTGAGGTGTATTTTCGTATAGTATTTATCACTGTATTCTCGTTTTCATGGTCTCACGTGATGAAATCGAAAACATATTACAGAAATAGAGATGATTTTCATTACTTTCACGATGAAAACGACCTTGAAACTGAGCTCAAAGTAGCGGAAATGTTCGATTTTTACCAATGTTCAGGAGTATGCAAATCACGCCACACGTCCAATACACGTCAACTGGGGAGTCTAATATTCTTTCACTAGTGCACTAATATTATTTATACTATTTTTAAAATAATGCAGTAGTCTGCATACCAGTAAATTTTGTACTTTTTTTTGTATGAATATAAAAAATCAAAATAGAAAGCAATAGTAATATAAGAGGGGCCTAGAGACGTGACTAATGAACAGAGGATATGTTATTTTAGTGCCAAGAATGTCTACCTTGTTTATTCTGGACCCTATTTTGAAATTGGCATCTTCATCCATTTTACAGACACATCATTCACACCACACATCCATTATACAGACAAATCATTCATTTGCGTGAAATTGACCAAATTGCCAGTTTCTGACCTCTTTGTTGGGTAGTTCAAATTGGTAAATGGGCAGTTTCTTGTACTCAACTGATAGATAAAATGGAGTTCTAAAGAAATAACTATGAGTTTGGTCAACTAGAACAACGGAATTGGCTAAAAACAGGGCTCAAAGTCGGCGAAATCGCCGATACGTATATGTTGTCAAGACCGCTAACTTCATGGTAGCGTAATTCTGTGAGTTTTCGACCAAATTTCGAACTTTTGGTGTCATTACCACCGGGAAAAGATTCTCTATCATTTCATAAGAAATAATTTTTTTTTTTTTTCCAAAAATTTTGCGACATAGAATGACAGTTTCAGAAAGGGGCCTGCGATAGTCAAAGGGTTAAACAACAGAAAATCTACATGCATAACTTCATTACCTTTAACACAGATTCGTCTAACACTGCATTTTCAGGAACATAACTACTGTCTTAATCGACAGTCTACTGCATGTTTAACTCGGGATAACCCTTTCAAGTTAATCGGTATGACTTATTTCCGTGTTTTGAGGAGTATTACACTCTGAAATAGTTGTAATGTTATAATTCCTTGTACATAACCTTAAAGACGAAAAAAGTAAAAAATTAATGTACCAGTTATTCCAAGTGAAGCAATGTTTGCAATGCTAAAACACCTTGAAACACATAAGAAACTAGTATACATAATGTTAGACATTAAAAGCAATTAAAAAACAGGAAAGCAATCGTATCTTAATGTCAATAAATTGTAAAATGTAAATATTGCTAGCGCTTTTAAGCTGTTGCCGATTAACAATAATTTTTTCATTAACTTTAACACACCATAAGATTGTAGTTTATCAGATTTTGCTTATTTTAGTCTTATTTAATTTGGAAAAATCAACTTGATCGATCTGTAATTTTGTTTTTCCCCAGGCTATCCCACAGTTAAAGGGTTAAGCATTTTGTTTTATCATCTAGGAAAGGCTTCCACGTTAACTAATATTGTTAGCGCTACTGAAAGACACAACTCGTCTTCCTTCTATCAGATTATGAATCATAAGCTTACTGCTACAAATTGCATTGTTTTTTTTCTCCTGCCACTACTGCAGTGGCTCTTGGTGTTATTATTTTTAACTGGCTGGTTCTGTCTCACTCAGGCAGGATGACCTGAAAAATAAGAAACAAAAGTTGTTGTTCTTTTACATTTAGTAATTTATACAGAAGGCATTACTAGCCCCTTGTTCCCAGTTTTATAACATGTATTCCTAATGGAGGAAAGATTCTTGTCTACTTTCCTTAATTTTTAAATTTACTTTTTACTGGTAGGCCTGAATTGAGAATAACAGTAGAAATGAATCTGCAAAAAAGTACAGAAATAAAAGTGCTTTTTACAGCTCTACAGAAAATGAAAGTTTATGAATGCAGTTTTGATTTTTCAGCTGGAGGAACAGAGGAAAGAAATAATGTCTTTAAAACATTCTCTTCGAGACTTGGAAGCCCTCTTACTGGATGCCAACCGAACAGTGTCACAGAGATCACAGGAGGTGTTATTGTTGCAAGAACAGATCGATAACGTGAATGCAGAAAATTTACGCAGTAGTTCATTTGAAAGTGAACTTCTGAAGCTGCGTGATGAGCACAAACAACTGAAAAAAGCTACGGTAAGCCTAATTAATTTTGAGTGTAATAATAATGAAGAGCACAGTATTACTCCTAATTCTGGTGTTGACTGTAACTCTTGTAAAATTTATACTGTGCATGTTATTCTGCCCATTTTTCTTCAGTTTTAACTCATAATGGTAATTATCTATGTTTAACTGAGCTTGTGGGTTGTATGGGTGTGTAGGTTCCCTTCATATCCTGTTCTCGGTAAAACCTCTCCTTGTTTATCTTGTATGCCCTAGATGCAGGCTGTGTGATTATAGGGGGTCAAATCTTAGCTCCTGGCCTCACCTCTTGACTTGATGTTTGCCACATTCATTCTTAGCCTTGTGGAAGGAGGTGTACTTTTTCTTAAAACCATATATGGAGTCAGCCTCCACCACTTCTTCAGTGAGGTCATTCCACTTACCAACCACCCTGAAACTAAGATGTACGTCCTGACATCCCTGCGACTCATTTGTGTCTTTAACTTTCAGCTGTGTCCCCAAATTCCTCTTTCCCTTTCAATTCCCCTGATTATTTTTCACATCATGTCTCCCCTGGCTCTTTCGTCCTCCAGTGTCATTAGATTTAGTTTCTTTAGCCTCTCCTCAAACCTCCTACCCATTACCTTTGGAACTATTCTAGTTGAACGCTTGTTGTGTTATTGTATACTGAAGGATTGTTACTTGTATTGTCTTACATAATATACCAAGTGATGATGTATTGATGTTCAGTGATAGTGATCTTAAATTGTGGATTACAACATTGTGACAAATTCTCAGTGCTTGGTGTATAATATATGGTCAAGCAGCACTAGCGAATTATTGCCAGATGTTGACAGGTGAGTATTAAATTATCACAATATGTAATAAAACAAGTGAAAGGGGTATTGGTATGCAGGGATATAGCGATCTTAAATTATGGCTAATAAAGAGGATGTAATGTCAAGGAAAAGGAATAAGCCAAATGACCTTACGTAATGTGTGAAGTGTCCCTCCCATAACCTCTTACCACCAATTCCCCCCCCCCCTCTCCAGTGGGAAGCCCTCCCCCATGTTCACCCCAAAACCTCTCCTTTGACCACCTAAACACCCCCCCTTCTCCCCGGACCACTTTCACCCTTCCCTCTTTCCACGGACCACCACTCCCAGCACCTACAACCCTAGCCCACCACCCACTACATAAAACTGCCCAGGATAAGATAAATGGAAGTGAACATCTCCGGAAATAAGATCTGTTGTATATGTGAAAAAAAAAATTGGGGAGAAATATTAGGGGCATTGATTGTGAAATATGTGGTAAAACTTCCCGTATATCATGACCTAAAACAAGAAAGTCAATTCTGGGTTTGCCCCAGTGAGATGGAAAGCTAGTTGGGCATAAGAGAGGTACTGAAAAGTGAAAGCCTAGAAAGAATAAGAAAGTAGTTCCTTAGGAGCTTGCCAGGTATATACAAAGAGTGGAAAACAAGGGGCAAGAAACAAGGAAAGGAGGAAAACACAAATTGTAAAAACCAAGGAGTTGAAATGAGTGGAGAACGTCATTCAGAGCAAGTCGGAAAAGAAGAAAACATGGATATATAACGTAGGGAAATGGAGGAAGAGAAAGCTAGAGCAGAAACAAACGGAAATGAAAAAGGGAAGAATTATGCCTAGATGAAAATAAGCAAGAGAATTCAGATCAGGTGGCAGAAGTTGGGAACGACAAAATTAGTAAGTACAGGCAGTTGGAACATTTGCAGATACATACTTTGAAAAAGGTATGTGCCTATATGGCAGAGTTTGCTGGAATTACCACAACAGAAAATGTGTGAACAAGTTGAGATAGGGAATGTGTTGCTTTGACAAAGAGTGTAGGTACTTCCACCCAGTGATGTGCAAAGCTTCAACACAGTTCAGAGAATGGTATGTCCTGAACTGCCCAGACCATTATGTAAGAGGAACGCGGCAATACAGAGAAAGCAGAGAAAGGTAAAATGAACAACAGTCTTTTTAAGACATGAAGAGGAATCATTATTCCAAAGAGACAAAAAGGGGGGAATGCTGCAGATAGGCAGCACAATGGGACATGCCAAACCAGGAATCAGTCCATCAGGGCTGAATACACAATGAAATGTAAAGTCAATATTGGAGAAACCAGGGGTATGTACACCGGTGGCCATACCAGGTAGTACATCGTCAGTGGTACTAACGAGACACAGCTAAACAAAACATCCCAAATGATAATTATTGCTTCATACTTACAAATACCCAGGTAGTAGGTTGGTACTACCGTCCTGCCAAGCAAGTGCAAAATGAAAGCCTGTAATTGTTTTACATGATAGGATTGCTGATGTCTTTTTTCTGTCCCATGAACATGCAAGATTACAGGTGCGTCTTACTACTACTACTTGCACACTTAGGTCACACTACACATGCATGTACAAGCATATATATACTCGCACACCCTTCTGGGTTTTCTTCTATTTTCTTAATAGTTCTTGTTTATTTCATCTTATCTCCATGGGGAAGTGGAACAGAATTCTTCCTCCATAAGCCATTCATGTCTTGGGAGGCAACTAAACTTCCTGGAGCAGGGGGCTAGTGGCCCCTACTCCTGTATACATTACTGAAGTTAAAAAGAGAAATTTTTGTTTTTCTCTTTGGGTCACTCTGCCTCGATGGGATATGGCCAGTTGGTTGGAAGATGATCTACAAATACGTATTCAGGGTCTGAAAACAAATAAAAACGGCAAAGTTAGTTAAGTCGGTGGGCTCTTACCAGAATCGAAAGCCATGTTCACAAGGGGTATTTTGGATGGAGAGATAAAGATAGGAATTTTTTTTTTTTTTAACAAGTAGGCTCTCCCACCAAGGCAGGGTGACAAAAAAAAAAAGAAAATACTTTCATCATTCAACACTTTCATCTCACTCACACATAATCACTGTTTTTGCAGAGGTGCTCAGAACACAACAGCTTAGAAGCATATATGTATAAAGATACACAACTATAACGGGCTTGTTTGGTATTCTGGTAGCGGGGTGTGAATGATATACTTCTTCGGAGGCTTCTTACTTTATTGTTAAGTCGTTGTGGGTACACAGGCTTGTGTTGTGCCCATGGCCCGGGCAGGGCCATGCCCACAAGAGAGAGCTGGGAGGCCTTGTGTGTTGATGCCAGGCCGCTGTGTGAGTGAGAGTGAGGCAAGTCTGGGCATACTGAAGTGGCAAGGCCTATAGATGGCAGCACCTGAGTGGCGCGAAATATGAACTAAGCTGACAGACAGCATGGGCTGTCTGTGCAGACAGTACAGGCTGTCTACATACGCTCGGCCACCTACCGCGCGTCGTCCCGACGCGACAATACTGGTAGTAAAAGAAACTCGGTCTCTCTCTCTCGTAGGAACAGGGCACAGAACACAAAATAAAAACATATATATACATATGGACATGGAAAAAAAACTTCCTACAGGGAGGGAAGAAAAAAACATGGTGTGCTAAACATCGTGGTCATAGGCAGTGAGCGTCGATGGGCATCACTGCACGCCTTCCTGCGTCTGGACAGATACTGCAACACGGGAGAGACATCGCTGTGGCTGAGCTGTGACGTAAAAGGGTACGGTCTCCTCTGGAACGGTGAAGCAGACATTGTAGGAGTCGCTGCAGGTTTTCACTCAACCTGGGGCACGACATGCTGGTGCCCTCGAGTGAGGCGTCGACAAAACTCGGCAACTGGGCAGGACTTCTGGCAAGCGACTCAGGAGGACACTTCTCGACTGGTACTGTCGCTGGGCTGTCACTGCCGGCGAGCGTGGAGCGAGTCGTGGCAGAGACGACTGGGCGAAACATCTGGGAGTCGTAACATCATACACCAGACTGCAGTGAGAGAGCTAGCAGTCAAAGTGACATCTTTGTGCAGGCTGCTCACTGAAGCTTGTGACACGAGGCTGACACAGTGTGTCATTCTCTCGACAGTTGGAGTTATAGCAGAGGTTAGTCTAAGCGTCCCCAGACTTGTTTCTCTACATATAACTGCACTCTGACGGTCTGGAGGTGAAGTGAAACAAATCTCGATGGGAATCGTAGCAGGTACGATTCTGCAGAACATCACGAGCGACGAGTATAAAAGCTTTCTGTACAAGGGGGCTCATACGCTCAGGGCTGAGAAATCAGCTGTCAAACACTGGTCACGCCGGTGACTTAGCACAGTGGTGCAACTCAAGGGTCTGACCACAGACCTCACTGGACACACGGAAAACTTACAAACACACCGCTGTACATACGGTACAACATGGCTTTAACTAGCAAATGATGCTTTTCTGCGCATAAAACTGACTAAGACATACTAAAATGTGAGAACACTGACTGCGAGGAATTAACACACGACATATAATTTCTCTCAATCTTCTCGACAATACTGAAATAATTACTAGAAACACTCGATGTTGACATCATGTGATGTCAGGCGTGATGTCGCGAGGTGACGTCAGCAGGACTGTGACGTCAGCAGACATCTCGAGGTGACGTCAGGCAGACATCGTGAGGTGACGTCAGCAGACATCTTGAGGTGACATCAGGCAGACATCGTGAGGTGACGTCAGCAGACATCTCGAGGTGACGACAGGCAGACATCGTGAGGTGACGTCAGCAGACATCGTGACGTCATGAAGTCGGGCAGCCTCGTGGGTGACGTCAATGTGATGCGGGCAGCAGACCACAGCATGTGGCCTTGGGACATCTGGTAACTCACGTGGCTTTGTAGGTCTACGTGACATCGCCCACACCCACATGACGTCGTGATCCACGTAGCTTCGAGTGGCCTTGGGCACTCGGATACACAGCACTGGCAATGAATTCATACGAAAAACAGCAGAAAACACAGCAGAGGGAGTGGGCAGTGGTGAATGGTAGGCTGGTGAGCGTGAGTAGGGCGAGCATGGGCAAGGTGAGGAACAGCCACTTCCTCTCCTCTCCTCCCCCACCCACAAATACGTAGAGCTCACACTGGACGCAGAAATCACCACAAAACTCACCTCTGG